CGGCGCGATATTTGAACACGGAAAATGGCCGAGGCCGCGTGAAAGACGCGTCTAAACAGGACGGCCAGACCTTTGGGTGTGATGACTTCCCCCTTCCACGCACACACACAGTCACACACACACACACACACACACACCACACACACACACACACACACACACAGAGCAGGGACCGGATATCCGTTGTCGCAGTATGCTAATCGGTATGCTGGACAAGCCCTTTTGCCGCGTGTACCAATAATCCGAGTCTGTACAACAAGCACTGCGTGTTGCCACTCCTTTCCTAATCACCACCCGGCTCGCTAAACAAAAAACAAAAACAAAAAAAAAAGAATAATTTTTCTTAAATTGATTACGTTTGCTCTTGTATGAAAAGTTGAGCAAGTATTTAAAGAAAAATCGCAGTCGACCGGAGTGAAGTCGGCTACTTGAGGGTTTGAGGCGCTGGACAAAACAGCACGATTTTCAGTTCACTGACCACAAACAAGAACATGAGCGCTATATTTGTTTGACAACAAGCCGAGTTTTTCAACAGCGTACGTCAACAACGTAATCCGCGACGAAGCGTGCTTTGTTTCGGACAGTGCATCATCATCGGAGCGCGGCGCTCATTGGTGACCTTAGGCCCCCAAATTACTGTACTCGGCGGACGGTGCGTATGTGAGGTGCCCGCGGTAATCATATGTGGCGTACGGTTTGCAATCCTCCTCCCTCCCGACGCAGCATCCGCCGCGGGTACGCGTTTTGTCCGAAGCGAGAATCTCGTAGGTGCATTCCCTCCAAGCAACCCACCTGCCGGCGATCGGACCGCACCGCGGCGCACCGCGGCGCACGCACGAGGACCCGCTGGCTCGCCACGGCCCGGCTGCTCGGCTCGGCTCGACTCGACTCGGCTCGGCTCGACTCGGCTCGGCTCGACTCGGCTCGGCTCGACTCGGCTCGGCTCGACTCGGCTCGGCTCGACTCGGCCCGGCTCGGCGCTGCCCGGCCCGGCGCTGCTCGGCACGGCTTGCAACCGGTCCGGAGCCCAAGAAGTGGGGTACACTGCATGAGGCAATCGGCACGCCACGCCACGCCCGAGAGAGGCGCTGTCCAGTCTAGGCTCGTCTAGCCGGCGCGACCTTCACACTCGGCGGTGCTGCGCTCTGGCAGCGCTCTGGCAGCGCTCTGGCAGCGCTCTGGCAGCGCTCTGGCAGCGCTCTGGCAGCGCTCTAGCAGCGCTCTGGCAGCGCTCTGGCAGCGCTCTAGCCGCGCTCTAGCAGCGCTCCAGCAGCGCTCCAGCAGCGCTCTAGCAGCGTTCTATCAGAGCTCTGGCAGCGTTCTAGCCGCGCTCTAGCGGCTAACTATCAGCGCTCTGGCAGTGCTCTAGCAGAGCTCTGGTAGTGTTCTAGCAGCGCTCTGCTGGTGCTCTAGCGGGCCACTTTGGAATGCCCAAACTGTCGATGGTGTAACTGCCGCGCCCAAATTCAGACCTGTGTGTCCTTTACACTCGTTCACGTTTGGACGTCGTTCCTACACAAGAAGCACATTCCTGAGAACGATGTTCTCCGCTTATTACTGCTCAGTCGAACACTGACTGGCACACTGAAAAATGCGGACTCCTCCTCTGAATTTTCCTCCTCATGCTTACCGTTCGGCCAGGGTCACTGTGACTCCTGTATTTGCGCACTCATCTAGCGACCTTGCCTCGCCTCGCCGTGTCCTAGGTCATTGTTTGGGTCCTTAGGGACCGTCAACACGTGCGCGTGTGTGCGTGTGTGTGCGTACGTGTGTCTGTGTGCGTGAGTGTGTGACAATGGTCGCGGCGTCGCGGCCGCCAGCGCCCAGCCAGGTCGACGACCCCCTTCTTCATGATCGCGTCTTTTGTGTCACGAGAAGCCACTGGCGTTTCTGATCAGGCCACTGTCATTGGATGTATATACATTGATGCGAGAGCACCGCTTGCTTCTGTGCGTGTGTGTGTGCGTGTGTTTGTGTGTGAGTGCAAGTGGATGTGTCCGTCGCAGGCTTCGCCTCTGGGAGTATCAAGTGTTTGGGTCCCACATGTCCCGTTCACACACACACACACACACACACACACGCACACACACACGCACACACACGCACACGCGCCGCAGAGCCAGATGACCCACACATACTCGGAGACCCGGAGTACCTAGACATTGCGGAGGACCTTCTTTGTCACGGCCAACGTGTGACAAGTGCCGCCGCCTCGTCATGAGAATATGGCAAAGGACACACTGCACTGGCCCAATGGCAAGTGCCGAAATGTGACTGCGAAAATGTTGGAGCGTGGAAGCGGTCCCCACGGCGGTCCCAGCGTTTCGCGTGCCCAAAAAGGTGCCTGCGGTACGACACACTGTACGATACGACGGGACAACAAACAATCAGTTTGCGAGTACGGTTCCTGTTTCTTTTGCCTGCCAGCAGCCCCCCCCCCCTCTCTCTCGGAAGGAAAGGACCCCACTTCCCGTCTCAGGTTGGCGGCCTTACGAGTGTGTCTCATTTTCGTAGACCACATGTGTTTAACAAGTTTCTCATACGTGACGCCGCTTTTTAATCTGTGGAAAGAAACCATTCATCAGGCACTACTCGTTTTCCTAACGGGTGCTTAACCCAAATGCGCCTCTTTGAAATTTAAGCAGCGCCACGGCCGACCGGACATTTTTATGCGTCTTGGCACGCGTTGCGCCACCCAATGACACCTGCAGCGCGAAGTTCGAAACGCGAAAGCCTTTTCGGCCCCCGGAGGGTGCGCTGTGGGACAGGACCGCACCGTGGTGCTAATTTTATTGCGCCGCCCGGCACCGATATCGGGCCGTCCTCTTCCCACCAGTTCCTAAGAGAGAGAGAGAGAGAGAGAGAGAGAGAGAGAGAGAGAGAGAGAGAGAGAGAGAGAGAGAGAGAGAGAGAGAGGAGAGAGAGAGAGAGAGCCTGGGCTAGTTGCTTTCCTTCGTTTACGCCCACGTTTCTTTTAACGTGCCTCCTGTCTGTCTCCCCAAATTCCATGCAGCCGCACTCCATCCCATTCTCTACCCCCTTCCTCTCCCCCCTCCCCGCCCCTCCAGGCGCGGTCAGCCCGAGTTGGCCTACATAGTGAATTATTACCCGCAGGTTGCATGATTGCGCTACTGTTCTAGGGGCTAGGCGTCGCCGTGCCCTTCGACGCACCCAAAATCATTTCAAACAAACCTGTAATTTTTTGTCAATTTTCCCGGTTTCGTTTTTTTTGACGTGTTGTTTTTGTATTGTTTCCGCGTGACACCGGCAAGCGAGCGCTCTACGCGGCCCCCCGAGACGCAGTGGACTCTTTAGCCGTGACTTACGAGTTCATCAATTTCGCTTGTAACGTGCTGCAGTAAAGGTGGACCGACACAGCACTGCAGTTGGAACGACTGCATCCCTGCGAGTGAGTCAGACGGAGTCAGACGGAGGGGGGGCCGGCCGAACGAGAGAGAAAGAAGTAGTTGCTCTTGACCTGCTTACGGCCGGCGACACCACAACACATGTGATGCAACTGGGAGGGAGAGGGAAAAGGGATTGGCCGAATCGAGAAGAAAGAGGAGGACGGAGGATGGCGTGGGGCAGCGCGAGGCTGTCAATGAGATGAGGATCTGTCTCACTTCCCAAACACGTGGCACCGCGTAGCACCGCGCAGCGCACGCGACGCGGATAGAAAGACTTTCAGCTCACTCGGCGGCCGGCTGGTTTTTCCGCGGTTCAGGCCAGGTCAGCCTCATTCATCCAGAAAAAGAGCTATAAAATTCATTGCTAGGAATTTGTTCGGAGCTTTTCTTTTCGAAAATTTTAAAGGTTTTTTGTTCATTTTTTTTGAAAGAAAACCTTATTTTAGAATTTTCTTTCTGGAATATTTTTGAATTTTTTAAAACATTTTTGAACATTTGTGTTGTTTTTTTACTGTTCTACGTATGATTTTTTCGTCCTTTCCAAATTGTACACTATTGACTGTGTCACGATCTTATCACGCCACAAGAGCCGTCTCGCCAAATCTTCGTTGTTTTTCTGTCCGCTTCGTCTATTACGCGTGGTCCCTGGGTGCTAGACTGTTCGACAACGCCTCCTCCACGATCTTTGAGCCAATTACTCCAAGCCGGCAGAAGAACTCAAGAAGAACGCGGCCAACGAACCAGCCGCCTAGTGCGTCACATTCGTTGTTGTGACGCGAACGTGGCTTTGTACTCGTGTTCAACTGTTTCGAAAGATTCCTTTGGAGCGGGAGAGGAACAAGTTCGGGTTCGGGGGGTGCCCCTTTAAACGAACAATGAATCAAAATCCTGCCCGTTGAGGCCTTTGACTCTCAAATTCCCCCCGCCGACGTCAGAGCACAGTCTGTCCGTTTGCCCACTGCGAGCGGCGCACACATCACTGTAAGTCGACCTCGTCACAAAAGCCGCTTCCGTCTGGCTTCGCCAACAAACTGTGCTCTCTGCAGCAGCCGCGCATCTACTGGCTAAAAATTCCTACTTTCAATTATTTTTCAGTTTTCCCGCCATTTTCTTCCAACTTTCCCGCCATTTTAAATCTATTTTTAGGTTGGAATCTGCGTGACTTGTCTTCGACACGATTCCGCGACATCAGCGCAGGCGACGCGAAAATTGTAGACGTTTGTGATTTTGGTGACGCACGCGGGTGGTAAAAAACAGGTGGCTTCCTTTTCCCGCGAGCAATCGGTTAATTTCTTGTCTTGGCGTTCAACGCAGCTGTGCTCATTCCTGGTTCAGCGTGTCATGTCGCTTGAAAAGTAGCCCGGGCAGTGACAGGTCAGCGCTAGTGCGGCGAAGAATGGTTTTGGCGGCAGGTTTGAATGGGACAGACTCTTCGGGGGAGGGGGACGGCGACGTCTGGGCCGGTAGCCTGGACCTCCCCCTCCCCCCTCTCCCTCCCCCGCGGGGCCTCCACGCCGCTGGCGGGGCGGGGCGGGGCGCGGTGGGGCACCTGAAGACACCGGCGGCTGGGCTCTCGGCCGCTTGCCATCCACTCCTTGCGTATCAGTTCCACTCCGCACTTTCGGCCGGCGAGAGTGAAGCGGCGGATTTTTCGCGGGAACTCTCAGCCAGTGTGTGTTTGTGTGTGAGGGTGTGTGTGTGAGAGAGTGTGTGCGTGTGTGTGACAATTCAGCGTGTTTGTGGATTTGAGCCTCGACGCCCCGGTCCCTGAGAAACCGCCGTCGAAGTCGACCCAGCCGTTGTTTAGGTAGGTGCTAAGAAAACATGTAAATCACGCTCCCGGTCATGTGGGACGAAATACAAAAGCACCTTGCCGAATTGTTTTTAAAAGGTTTTGATTCGAATTGAATGCGCCTAGCACCATATCGGTTTAATAAACAAAGTTGTGAACTTCTTATCTTCTCAGTCTCTCAATTCACTTTTATAATATCACCACTAGTACACTAGCAGGGACCAATCATGGCAGATCACAGATCGCGAAAGCTCAACGTATTTAACCTTTTGCCTCTGACAGCCTTGAAAACAGTGATAAAATATGACTCGGCATGGGCGGCCTGACCTCCGAGTGAGAATTCGAAGCGAGTGAAAGGACGCGAAAAACCTTGTTATCTCACTCTATTTGGAGGTCACTGCATGTACCGGCCCCTTGGGCTGGCACTCTCGGTGAAAGTTGAGAACGCCAACGAGAAAAATATTGGGTTGACCAAAATGCAAATCTCGCCAAATGACAGATAATTGTTGCATGTCTCGTAGGGCCAATGATTGCAGCAAGCAGCGAAACCTTGCAGAAAATTTAAGGCATGGCAGAGAAAACTGTAATTTTCAGGTATTTTTTACATGAACTTATCAGGCATTTTTTGGTGAATTCTCGGAAAGTTTCTTCGTATGTATATTTTTACATTATTAGATATTAAAGTCTTGATCGTGAGGTTCACGTATCTTTATACCTCAATTCCTGACATTGAAAAATTCTGAAGCTCAGGAGATGATGTCTGTTTCGCAAAGCTCATCTGCTTGTCGCCCTTGCACTGGCCGCTCCAGCAGCAAGGAAGATAGACCCGTCGGCTTTTTATCCTATTCCGGCGACGCCTTGAGCGTGGGAGCTGCTATCAAAACAAAACAAAGCCGGGCTCCGGCGGTGGCGGGAAAACAAATGGGCAGCGTGTCCAGGAATAGACCACATTCGATGACCCGCGTCCGACAGAAACCAAGAGAATTAAAAATCAAAAAAACATTTTTTTGGATAAGCTTAACAAAACCAAAGAAAACCAAGAAATTTAAAAAAAAGAGAAATTATTTTTCTGTATGTACTTAAGATACTCATTTCGTAAGGTTTTAAGCGTGCCTGCACTGTGAGTGTCGCAACGGGGTGCCGATCGTAAGCACAATGCCGGCCAAACCGTTCTGCGTGGCACCTTGGCACCTGCACTGTTGGCGCCTGCAGCAACCCGCAGCAACCCGCAGCCTCAGCTGGCGTTGTCTCGCTGGCCTTTGTCGCCCCCCGCTGCGATCAGCGCTGCGATCAGAGCTCCCTGATTGGCACACAATGGCTCCATTTTTCAGCGCGGGCCTAGGAGGCGACGCGAAATCCACACGCCGGCGTCGCGACGTCCGAAAAATGAGCAAGAAAAGCCAATTATAAGATTTTTGCCCGGCGGCGGCGTCAGTGCGCGTCTCTTTTGCGTTTTGCGTTTCTTATGCAGCCTACTTCTCACCCACCGGGGATTTCGTCAAGTAGTGCAAGTGCAGGCTGGGCAGGCCTCCTCGCGCCTCAATCGTCGGGGTATTTCTCAGCTCTTCGCGGCGCGCTTGCGACCGCCATTGTCCTTCGCGGCGTTGCGTAGCGCGGCGGCATTAAAAACGCATCGGCCGGCATCTAGATGGGCGGCCCGGGCGATTAGTGTAACCTTGGGCGAGTGCCGGGCAGTCGCCAGCATGCAAATCAGAGCCAACTGGTTAAAATACCCCTGACTTTGTTGCGGTCTCCGTTAACCTGCCCTAGAATCGCGGCGGGGCGGCCGGTCTACGCACCGGCGGACTTGAGCCGATGCCAAGACGGGAATGAGGTGAACGAACTGCATGCATCCTGCGGCCCTGCCAGGGTTAACCTGAATTGCGGTGCTGCGAAAAAGGACGAAATTGCCGCTAACGACAGCCGGCATAGCAACAGGATAACGGCCTTCTCCGCGGCGGGAGGCCGGGAAGCTGGAGCGCCTAGTTGCGTCCGTAGTGATGCAACGCGCTCAGGGTGAAGGTTTCTGCTGGAACCGGTTTCGACAAAGATGGGCCTAAGTCGCTGAGTGCATTGAACGCCATCCCCGGCTTTACACGGTCCTTGCACCGACCGCCTGCACGCCCTGCGCAGTGGGCCAGAAGACCGGGGCAGGCGGACAAAACTCTAGACGAGTTCTGAGCTCCAGAGTCGTTAAACATAGAACTCGAACCGAACGTGTGACCCCACAATGGATTGCTCTCCGAACGAGGAATCCAGTGGTGGGGTCACACGTTCGGTTCGAGTCCTGTTTGGCAGCTTAGAGCTAAAAACGCGCCTGGAGGTTTGGCCGCCTCCGCCGGTCTTCTGGCCCACTGTGTGCCGGTCGGTAAAACGCAACGCCTTGCTTTGTTTCTAACTTGTTTTATGGCCCGACCACTTTGAGGCACAGGCTTGCGGACTGTCGCTATACTCTTGTGAATCCAGAGACGGGGCAAACACGCAGTTTTACTGCACTGTTTTCCGTCAGGCCGAGACTGCGTCCCGCCCCAGTCCCGCGGACCGCGCACTAGTTCCAACCCAGCTTTAACTTTATGAAGGGTTATTCGTGCTTCCTGCTGCACCACTGCAATACAAAGGAAGTCCCTCATTAGGCCGACCTGTGACCAAGTCAGCCAGGCGGTGCGCACTTAGCTAATGGAACCAGAAGGAGCAGTCGAAGGCATCTGCACGCGGGCGGCGCGCAATCCGGAGCCGGTACAGCTGGTAGGCGGGCCGGCCGGCCGCCGGACCCCAAAACCACACCCAGAGGACACGGGAACAATTAGCTGCTACAGAGTCGACCTTGACAGGGCCCAAGTCTCTCTCTCTCTCTCTCTCTCTCTCTCTCTCTCTCTCTCTCTCTCTCTCTCTCTCTCTCTCTCTCTCTCTCTCCACTGACGCAACGCCGGCGGCAGGCTGGCCAGTGCATCGCCGCATCGCTGCACTCCGCTCCCGGCACACTGATTCCGAGAGTCGTTTTCGTCGCCCTGTCTCTCTCGCGCCCGAACGGGCTGCCCCGTGAGTGCGAGAGAGACAGGGCGACGAAGACGACTGCAGACGTGCGGCGCGGCGGCCTGCACGGCGGCTCGGCAGGCATTGCTGCATAGGTGCATTTGTACAGCGGCTGGCTAAAGGGCGAGCGTGTTTGTATCTCATCAGACGGTCCGCTTGATGCGGCCAGTGCAGTGGCCGAGCCGATCCCGATGGCCGAACGGCGGTACACTGGGAACCGAGAAACAGATTGGACATGTTGCCACGAAGAGTTCGCAAAAAACAGCAAGCGTTCCCTTTGAACCTGCTGCTGCCTGTGGTTCTTGCGGTCTGTTGCTCCTGCTTTTTGGACGGCCCGCGGAAGAGAGAAGAGAGAGAGAGAGAGAGAGAGAGAGAGAGAGAGAGAGAGAGAGAGAGAGAGAGAGAGAGAGAGAGAGACTGTACCGCGGACGTTGCGAGCGGCGTGTCATTAGTGATGGCGGTCAGGGGAACGATTGCCCGACACCGTGAAATACTCTAACGCTGTTTACAAAGTCGGCAGGCCTCGGCCGGCCGTGCCTTTTTACGATATCCGCCTAGGTTCCCTCGTGGTTCCCTGTCGCAACGGGCCGAGCCTGCAGCCGTGCCTGGCCGTGCCTGGCCGTGCCGCGCCGCAGACCGATGCCGAAGGGTCGTTTCTGGCCGACGTCTCTCTCGCACGCACGTTGCGTCCCGAAAGGGTGCGAGAGAGACGGACGAATCGAGCCTTCGGCATCAGACGTCGTTGGGACGATGACGCTAAAATCGCGGCGCGGGCCGTGCCGTGCCATGTAGGGCGTTATAGCCCGAGCGCCGCTGTGTGCGTGTCTGTGTGTGTGTGATTGTGTGTGAGTGTGCGTGTATCTGTATGGGCCATGCTGCGTTTGTATGGGGGACAGTGTGCGTGTAATTGGTATATTTAATACATGTGAGTGTCAGTATCTGCGCCTGTGTGTGTCTGTGTGTCTGTGTGTCGTCCACGTGCCATGCTCTTCGTGGGGTCCACACGCATGCGAAACAAGACACACGCGAGCCCTGACACTGCAACGGAGTCGGGAAACGAAATGGGTGCGTTTTTTTTCGTGGCAAGGGTCGGGCCGATCTCTGCCTCGGGCCTTGCGTTCAAGTTCCCGGCCGGAGACTGCCTGCCCCTGCTGGCTGGCTGGCTGGCTGGCTGGCTGGCTGGCTGGCTGGCTGGCTGGCTGGCTGGCTGCCCTGGCTGTCCGGCCGCGGCGGGCGGACGATGCCGCCAACCCGGTCAAGGTCGCCCCGACGGAAAGCGGTGCAGTTAATTAATGACTCATCCCCGAAATGGGATGGGCTCTGATTGCAGTGTGAGGTCTTTCCACACGTCTGCCGAGTGTCTCGCTTCCTTTCCTCCACATTCACATTCTCATTCAAAGATTTTTTGCACACGCTACATTCCTTTGTACAATTTTTCCACGAGGTCTCTCACAATTTTGCATTAATGCAAAAGCAATGTCACACGAATTTGTGCGATTCTGCGAACCAATTTGCACGAAAACGTCCGCATGTTTAAGACTGCCTGAGACCACGAACCAAAAATTGTATAAAAATGCGAAATTCGTAAACATGAAATGTTCGCGCGTGTGTGTGCGTGTCTCTTGTCTTGGTGGTCGAGGGCGTTGCGGTGTGCCCTAGAATGCGAACGCCAACGCAAACGGCTTGCCCTGGGGCCTGCCGGCCTGTCTGCCCTTGCTCGCGTGATATCATTATCTTAGTCGCAAATTGCAATCCTCTGCGGGAGTTGTGGATTTCAAACGACGGCCGACCGAGAGAATGCCCTGGCTGATGCCAGTCATTGCAAACTCAATTTATTTTTTGAAAGAATGTGCTTGAAATTTAAAAAAAAACGTCGGGGCATGCACTTTGAAAACTTTGCAAATTACTATGGGCCTCAGACAGAAGGAGAACTATCTTGTTCAAACGAAGTATTTTGAATGTACGTAACTCACAAAAGAAAATCTTTTGAAACAAACTAAACAGTTTGTACCTTAAAAATGCTCAAAATACTTCATAAGTTTTTGAGCGTGTGGGTAAAAAAGAGTTCGGCTACGTACTTTGATAGAAACGGCGTTTCCCGAACTGAAAAATGAATGAGAGTCGGCTTGGACTCGAACCCGGGACCTGTCACTCTCCACGGAGTCCCGGGAGATCCCACGGCGTCCGTGCCACGGCTGCCATGGCCATTGTCCTTGAAAAGAGGGGTTTCGCACGGGGCCTTGGCCAGCGGGCACCACCGGGCCACGCATGATTGTTGCGTCACGGGGACCCAGACCTTGGTACCGCACGGCCCGGCAGACACAGCCCCTGTTCCGGCCGGAGTCGTTTTGAAACATTTCGCCTGGAAGCGTGTGCATCTGGTCCTAGGGTCACGTCCCACCCAGAGCGACAGCGGCGACCTCTAGCGCGTCCCAGACTCGCGCCTTGAACTTGAAACTCGCGTTTCAATCCCGGCAATTACAGTTTTTTCTTCTGTCTGTGAGTCTCTAATCTCTGATCCGGCTCATCTTTTTCCTACTTTTTCTTTGGGAACGGCACCCATTTAAAAACGAGTGCGAACCAACAAACAATTCCTACACCTGCCCCGTAGAAGGTTCTATAAAAAAAAACTGCCGAGGTTTAAGTTTTATTTTTGTTTTTTCTTGTTGTCCTGTCGGCAATGATCTTGGTCCAAGAGCGCGCGCCAATAATAATATCCAGGGCGTACCTATGCAAAACTCGTATAGCCGGATTCTGAGCGATCTGAGTGAATTCACGCGCAAAACACGGAGACCAGTTTTGAAGCGGTGCTGGGGGCGGGATTCCTCACTTTGCGGGCGTTTGCCAAGTAAACCTCCAGCGACAAATCAGGGAGATGGAACTCGCCAGACCGGCCCAGCAGCTCCATCACTTATTGAATATCACTTCCATCGCAACGGCGCTTTTGCCCACTCCCATCCGAGCGCACCGACGGCGCATGTCTGTGCCGATGTGGATTAGTAGCCAAGACGATAAAACAGCAACATGCATCAACCTTTTTTTTTTTGCTTGCTTTGGCGTTTGAAGCACCGCCTAGCCGACGAAGCCGACTGCAACTACACTAATTGGCGTATCCTCGGCCCGCCTTTTCTAGCAGTGCAGCCGCGAAACGTGCAGCAGCACGCTGAGTCGTGTTCGTCGCTCTTTCTCTCTCGCACCTGTGCGGGACGCCTCGCGAGTGCGAGAGAGACAGAGCGACTCTCAGTCTGCAGCAGGCACACGTGACCCCGCGCACGACCGCCCGGAGGAGGAGACGGAGGAGACTTGTCGCTACACTACAAGTTACAGTGCACTTCCCGATGCCGCCTCTTTTTCTCCGATTCCGCGCGTAGCTCGCACGGCGCCGCTCTTTTCACACGACTCCGGCAGCGAGGCCGAAGGCAGCCAGGGGCAGCCAGGGGCAGCCAGGGGCAGCCGAAGGGGCAGCCGAAGGGGCGCCTGCACTGGCGTCGCTGCAACGCGCGCATTGTGGTCGTGCATTAAACAGTGGCGTGCGCGCCGAATGCATTCGCCATTCTGCGGGTACCGCGTGCGAACAGGCTGCAGCCTCGACGCATACCGGTCATCGACGCGCCGCCCGCCGGCCAGACAGACAGGGCCACACAGACAGACGGACAGACTGACAGACAGACAGACAGACGGACAGACAGACAGACTGCCTCACAGACTGTCTGATAGACAGTGGCGGGTCCAGACATTGCCTGAGGAAAGGGCAAAGTACCACTTTTTGCCTACTTACTAGGGCAAAGTGTTGCATTTTACCTACCTACCTATCGACTAAGGGTCCATTTTCCCCCCTCCCCCTTTGCCCTCCCTGGATCCAAGCTGGTAGACAGGGGGACTGACTGACAGACAGACAGACAGACAGATGGACAGACGGACGCGCAAAACGTAAAAGGAATACGCGAAGGAGTCCGACAAAGCGAAGCGCTGCCGCCGACCGTACGTCTGCGCGGAAAATAATGTGGAAAACTCGCGTGGGGAGCGTGACGCTGACAGGTGAGCGTCACAGAGAGAGAGAGAGAGAGAGAGAGAGAGAGAGAGAGAGAGCCGTGCTATCGACAGCAAAGGCTGTCTCCGCTGTTGGCGGGTCGGAAAGGCATGGAGGGTGGTTTGCGAATCCACGACCGCGGTGGCGTCCACCCGCAGTGCGCACCACACCCCGACTCTTGTTGTTGTTGTTGTTGTTGTTGTTGTTTGCGATTGGCGGGGGGCACTTGAACGCCATGACGTATCCCGTCCCCGCCCTAACCTCATGCCCCGTCATGTTTTATGCTGCTTGTTGATGAGCGATCAAACAATCATGGCCCCGCTGATGGGGTGAACCGGTGCTATTGCTCTCCTTTTCTCTCTCTCTCTCTCTCTCTCTCTCTCTCTCTCTCTCTCTCTCTCTCTCTCGCTCTCTCTTTGACCGTGTGTGTATGCGCGCACAGTCGATCGTTTCCCGTGTGTGGACTGGACTAGTCGTCGCAGTGCTTTTGTTTGTTACCGCGAGCCATCCCGCGGCTGCACTGTAGAGGCATTCATTATTCATTATTCATGACGATCCCCGTGGCATCACAAAGTGAATACCATCCGGTTGCGATGAGGCGCCGCGTCCGCCACCCGCCTTTTGCGTATTAATTTATTTTAGTATTAAAAAAAATAATTTAAAAAAGTGAAAAAAAAGGAGGAGGAAGAGACATTGGTTTCCTGTCCAGTAGGTGAGGCTCACCTTGCTTCATATGGAGAGCGTAAAGTGCCCAGTTTCTGGGGTGATTTAGAATAAAGGTAAAAAGTAAACAGAGATAAGAAGGAGGAAGAGGTAAAGGTTTCCTCTCCATTAGGTGTAAGTCGCGCCTCGCTCCAGCTGGAGAACGTAAGGTGTCCAGTTTCTGGGGTGATTTTGGATAAAAATGGAAAATAAATAGTGAAAGAGACAAAGGATTTCTGTCCAGTTGGTGTAAGTCTTGCCTCGCTCTAGCTCGAGAATGTTAAGTGTCCAGTGGCCCGGGCCACCCCTACCCGTCACAAAAAAAAATGAAGAAATGAGAACCGGTGCGTCGAAAATGCAGTGGCAGGACGCGCGCCTCTGCAGCGTCATGGACAGCGTCATGGATGACGAAAATCGGAACCGGTCCGCCAAGGCAGGCAGCCAAGGCCGCCGCGTGGGGCTGCATGGCTGCACGGGGCTGCCAGCTCGGTCGGACCGGCGTCGAAATTTGGGCCCGGCCAGAGAGACACGAACGGACGCCCCGGGCGTGGATGCAGATGCGGCGTGGCCTTGGCTGCTCGCTGGTGCAAGCCATCGTTAGTCTCGGATTCATATCCCGCGTCGGTTCATACATTCACGCTAAGTAGCCTCTGCGAATAAAGGGAGAAGAAAAAGAAGAAAAACGGCGAGTCTCGACGACTCGATAAGCCACTCCGGTGGCGTCGGTACTCGGCCGACTTGGTTCTGTCATCGACAGACGGCACTCACGGTCTGTCGGCGAGATCGAGTGTCAACGCGCTCACTCACACCCACGCGCACAGCTGACCGACGCGCTGTAGTGCGCTAAGTACGCGTGCGAGCGAGCGCGCTAGGGAGACGCGGCCCGAGCGCGACAGAGCGCGAGGGGCATTGTGTAATTTGGAACCGGTTCGCGCGGCGCTGCGCCCGCTGCCTGGCCCAGCCTGGCCCCTGTGCCGCGCCGGCCGCGCCGGCCGCGCCTTGCCGCCAGGCAGAGCAGCCGGCCAGCCAGGCGGCCAGCCCGCCGGCCAGCCAGAGCCAGGCGAAGCCAGGCGAAGCATGCCGTCCTGCAGTTTATTTTGCAACGCCCTGCCGCGCTCGGTGCGGCCGGCCGTGTGGAGTACGGGCAGCGGGAGTCTGTGGCGGCGGTGGTCAGCGTCCGAAAAGCATCCGTCTCCTCTCCCTCTCTCTCTCTCTCTCTCTCTCTCTCTCTCTCTCTCTCTCTCTGTCTCTCCCGCCGGCCGGCCCGGGGAATGCTGGCTGGCCGGGCCACGGCCGGTCAAGTCGGCTTGGACGCCAACGCTACAGCGTGGCATGGCGCACCTGCGGACTGAACCCGCTGGAGGACCCTGTCTCTCTCGCACACTCTTGGCTCGCCCCGTGGGCCGTGGGTGCGAGAGAGACTGCGCGGGATCGCTGCTCGGGCGGTTTGCCGGGAGTGCCTTTATGGCGACCGTGTCTCTCGATCGGAGACAGTTACGCACGCCTGGCTCTCAATACGACAGAAATTAAGTTCGGAATTTATGTTGGTCGGAAGCTGCGTTTTAAGTACCGCCGCCGTTGAAAAACGTGCGGAGGTCTGAAGGTGACCTTTACTGTTTGAGCTTTGTTGTGCTCGGGGTTCGAAGTCCTTTGGTACACAAATGGTGATCTAACCGGCGTCCTCTTGGCTTGCAGAGTGCCAGCATGTCGCCGAAGGTTCTGATCGAGACCGCACCGCCGGGCATGGACGACCCGCCCCCCAAGCCCGTGGTGGTGTCGTCGGCCAAGCCGCAGTCCCGGACGCGCTTCGTGTCCGCCGCGGTGCTGGCCGTCGAGGTGGCCTGGCTCATCGTGCAGTCCATCTTCATGATCCTGGACGCCGTCTACCACGCCATCAAGCCCAACGAGGGCAAGGACCTGACGGGCAAACTAGTGCTGGTGAGTACGCCGGCGGGTTCAACAGCCCTGCCGAGACCAGTTTCGCCTTTTTTTCAGTTTGTGGTAATGGGAGCGATGGGGACCCTGACCACGGCCAACTCGAGTGGGCATCCCGCCACGCCTAGCCGGCCTAGCTGGCCTAGCGTAGCCTGCCTGGCTGGGAGTCGCGCGATCGCCGCACCCACACTGGCAGGGCGCTGCACTGCAGTCGCTCTGTCTCTCTCGCACTCGCGGGGCGTCCCGTATAGGTGCGAGGGAGACAGAGCGCCAACCGACCGTCGATGAGTTCCCCCTGGATCCTCGTTCCGCGAGTCGTTTTCGCCGTGCTGTCTCTTTCGCACTCATGGGGCGTCCTGTGTCGGTGCGAGAGGGACAGCGACGAAAACGACTGTCGCGGAACAGGGATCCAGATTAGTCCAGAGAGTACTCTTGGACGGCCGGCCGGCGCGGGGACCTCAGTCTGGTCCGCTGCGTGGTCTCTGGGGGGCCGCCCGGGGCCGCGGAGGGGAGGGGGAGGGGAGGGGGGGGGCATTGGCTGGAGCCGCGAGGCATGTGCCGGACATCCTCCTCCCGCCGGCCGACGCGGTGGCGGTAGTCGCTCCGGCCAACCGGTTCCGCGCAGTCCTGACCTTCACACGCGGTCGTGCTCCGCCACGCCCTGCCCCGCCCCGCCCCACCACGCCCCGCCCGCCACGCCCCGCCACGCCGCCCCGGCACGCAAGTGCGTCTGCTTTAGCACCCGCACTGTGCTGTGTACAGGCCGGCGAAGACTCCTCCAAATATGGCCCGCCGCGCCAAAATATTGATCGCTAGACGAACTCCGGCCGCCTGCTGACAGGCTGACCCAGTGTCCCACCTGCAGTGTCCAGCCCGGCCGGCCGGTCGAATTACAGCGGCCGTTCCTCCTTCAGGCGGTCGTCCCCGCATTCCTCGCCCTTCGCTCTGTCTCTCTCGCACCCATGCGGCCTTATGGCCGTCCGTGCAAGTGCGAGAGAGAGACAGCGCTGGTCAGCCCGCAGGCTTCGCCGCTCGGCCGCCTCGGTGTGACGTAACGCGTATCGCAACGCCCTGGGTGGTTTCACGGGCACCATGGTGCTTGACCTTTCGACCACACCCCCGGGGCCGATCCAGCCCCTCTCTCTCTCTCTCTCTCTCTCTCTCTCTCTCTCTCTCTCTCTCTCTCTCTCTCTCTCTCTCTCTCTCTCTCTCTCTCTCTCTCATAGATTAGCCCAGACGGACTGCCGCGGCCCCCTTTGAGCTCACGCTAACAGTCGAGTGGTTCGTCGCTGTCTCTCTCGCACACATATGGAGTGCCCCATGAGTGCCATGAGTGCAAGAGAGACAGAGCGACGAAACGACTCTTCTGAATCGCTCGTCAGGTCGAAAATTAAGGGTGGCTCGGCATCAGCGCAGCATTCATTCGATAGATCGAAGTGTTGAACGAGTCGAACGTGGCCTCAATCACCTCCAGTTTGAGATCTCAATACGGATACGTGTAATCTCCACAGTCTAGCTACCATTGACTATGACCCAACACACTCGAAAAAAAAACAAGCCTTGCGAAGGACTGTATGTTTCTGCAAAATATTTCAGTGTTTCATAGAGGAAGTACTTCGTAATACACGAAGTAATTGCTCGTAAAATGAAAGATAATTGTACCTTTGTAGGGATGATACCGTTTAGGACAGTGTCTCAAGGAATTTCAAATTCATATCTGCACCCAAACCCAACGCAAATCCCAACCTCTTCAGAGCGTGGACACGTTCCCCGCGAGTACAGCCCCGAAGCAATCAATTGGAAGCCATCAGGATGCATTTTGAAAACTGCGGGACTTCCCCACGGGGCAGTCAGATCAAATGATGATGAACACTACACGGATCCCCTTTTTACATGCTGGCTATTTCTGCCTGCTGGTGACGTACACTGGGAATATCGCGGGAAACTTTTCGCGCCAAATGATGTGCTTGGTCGCGGTGTCTCTCTCGCACTCGTGGGTCGTCCCCTGGCGGTGCGAGAGAGACAGGCGGCTCCTCTGTTAGCACGTGTCTGGGTCATTAGAGTGACTCGGGCTTGCAAGCGATTATCCTGGAGTTGCTTGGGCCGGGGAGTCGTCCGCTGGGATGTTCCATCGGGGAAAATTCCCTTTGGGTTCGCTGCAGGTGACGGTCGTTGAAGGGCCCGAGCGGCCAGGCAGGGCGGCAGGGACATCCTGGGGCCCTTGGCTCTGCTAGTGGACAGGCAATGCCGAATGCCCCATCGCTCCAGCCCGCTTTACCACACGCGCAGTCCGGCCGGTGGCTTCGAGCTCCGCAGCAACGCGAGCTCCGAAAATCACAAGTCGGCATGCGAGCGTCTCACGGATTCGCTCGTAGTGTCGTCGAATTTGTTCCTGGCTGTCACTTTGCGTCCACACTGTCAGCCGACTGATTGCCAGAGTCTTTTCGTCGGCCTCTCTCGCGTTCAGAGGATGCCCCACGAGTGCGAAAGAGACAGAGCTACGAGAACGACTCTCGGAATCCGTCTGCAGGTTGCTTGGCGTGGAGGCTATCCGCTTGGCCGAACCCACGTCACGCGGGTCACGTGGGTTTGGCGGCCGCCTCGCTCCGATAGAGCGCGCAATTCTCGCAGACTGACCGAAAAAACACTGCCCCAAACAGGTAAAGTTTCTTTCCTGGGTTCCCACTTTGCGAATCAAAACAAACAACGCCTTTGATTCGAGCGAGGCACCTCTCACGAGTCACTCACGAATAACGCCGGCGAATCCTCTTTTCTCACAGTGGCTGTTGTTGAATTTAAAACGACCCGAGCGTCGATTGCTTCGATCATTAAAGCACCCTGTACTTGGCGTTACATTGTGGCACTTTTCCCCGTAATGGTGGTACTCCTCGCCAATCTTGTTTTCCTCCAAGCCTCATCGCGTGGGGCACGTCCCACTGCGTCGCCGCGATTGGCAATACGAGTAATTTCATCCGATTTCGTCGCGTTGGGTCCAACTCGGTGAACATGCTTTCTTGGCGGTCACTTGATTGTCACTTTGACGTCACTTGACAATTTTCTGCTTTCGTCCGCTCTGCTTCTCTCGCACTCGCGCGGAGTCCCGTAGGGGTGCGAGAGAGACGGACTGGCGCCTCGCGTGTGGGAGCGCGCGCAGTATGAATGCGCCCCTCTCGCGAGTGTGCCCCCCCCCTCCCCTCTCTGGGGCCGTCCGTCTTGCTTCGGCCGTCCCGCCGCCAGAAACGCGCCGAGCGCGCGGCGCGCCACCCCTATAAAAGTCTATTGTCTCCCAAAATTTTATTTCGGCCGTCCGGAGTGCCGCTTTATATCTGCAAGGGTGCACGGCGATGTGGCAACGCTGCGGGGGGAACGCGATTTGACGTGCCAGCGTTGCCAGCGCGCTCAATCAAATGTAGACCGAGAACAAACGAAAACAAGCAAGTTGAATTAAGAAATAAACAAATAGGTAAATGAAATAAATTTTTACTTTCGAAAAAAAAAAAGTTAGTTTTTGAGGCTAGTAAAAACATTAACTCACCATAGACGAAAAGATGCGGAAACAGACTGTAAATCAGAACCTGTGCTGTTTGCACTTTGTCGGATTCGACGTCTCGTTAAGTGAAACACCCGCCGACGGCTGACGCGGCGGAATTTTGCAGAGTGATGGAATGTCTTTTACGGTGCTGGAAACAAACACAGCGTTACGTAATTTATAGCGTGTGATCCCCCTGGGGGTTTAGGGGGACCTAGCAGGGCCAGCAGGGCTCGGCGGTGAGTGAATGGGGATGACGGTGGAGGGGGGGAGGGGGTTGGTGTCTCATGACAGCTGATGGATTGATCTGCCCTGTGCTGTCCGACTCGCCGTTCCGCCGTGCGGTTTGCCGCTCGCTCTCTTTTTCTAGTGCCGGGAAACTGAATGCGTGCGACAGAGACGAAAAATGTAACGATTTTTTTTTCTCTCCCCCCGGTGCCGGCGGTGCATGGCGGCCGCGCATGTGAGGGAGGCTGGGGTCACCCTCGAAACTGCACCCTGACGTTTTATCTTTCATTCCGTTATTTATTTCCCTTTGCTTGTCTCTGTCCGTGGCATCGACAGGGCTTACGATCCCGATCGCACATTTGTTTTTCGCGCCTCCGGACGAGGCGCCCCCAACACACGTGATTTGCCAGAAAGGTTATCTGCCACTTATTTTGGGCCATTTTTCCAGATCACCGGCGCGGGCCACGGCCTCGGCAAGGAGATCTCCCTGCAGTTCGCGCGCCAGGGATGCAGAGTGGTGTGCGTGGACATCAACAAGGTCGGCAACGAGGAGACCGTCAGGGAGATCCTCCAGGAGGCCGAGAAGGCCAACATGCCGGGCAACGGCCGCCCCAGGGTCAAGGGGTACATCTGCAACGTGGCGGACAGAAAGAAGGTAAGAACTCATTACTTCGTCTTCTTTTATTTTTTACGGTGGTGTGGACATTATTCTGCCGGTACCCGGGGCATTGTTTTGTCCGACGAGGAAAGAGCGCCCCAGGTTCCAGTTAGACGGGCCAAACCGCTTTCGGAGGGTTCCTGAATTCACTCTCGGTGACCTTCCGGCCGACGGTCTGCAGTCCGAGGGTCGTTTTCGCCGCACTGTCTCTCTCGCGCACCGATGGAGGCGTCCTGTGTAGGTGCGAGAGGGACAGAGCGACGCAAGCGACTTGCGGAATCAGTCTGCTGGTATACGCGTCCAGGTTAACGACCGCGGACGGACGTTCGGACCGACCGAACCACCCAGTCAATGTCTTCCTTTGTTTTACAGGTCCAGGAGCTCGCCTTGCTGGTGACCAAAGAAATGGGCGAGGTGGACATCCTGGTAAACAACGCCGGCATCCTGACGGAGCACTCCTTCCGCGACGCCACCCCGGAGGAGATCGACCTCACCATCAACGTCAACTTCACCTCGCACTTCTGGGTGAGAACGAGCGAACACGCACGGCGAGCGTGACTCTGGTTCTCTCTGCTCTCTCTCTCTCTCTCTCTCTCTCCCTCTGTCAGAGCTGTGGGCTAGCAGTGCACAAGACGCATAATAGCGGAGGCGTGTGTTTTTCCTGCGTGCCAAGCCCGTAAAAAGATGGCAAGCGGCTTGCCGGTGGCTTGCCAGTGGCTTGCCAGCGGCTCGCCAGCGGCAAACTTGGCACCCGCCGTGCGTTTGTTGCTCGTGCGATGGATGGAGTGTCACCGGCGCCGGCCTTGAGACTATTGACGTCACTTCCCGCTTGCAAGCAAAAGCTTTGGCGGCAGAGAACGCCTCCACACCGCCAAATCCCACATTTTAGCGCCAATTCGTGCGCCGGGAGCTTTCGACTTATCCGATGTTTGCAGAGTAGATCATGACAAGAAGCGCCGCCAGCGCCGTGAAAAAAAAGTCTACGCGACTGAAACTGCTTGGATTTATATCGCCTCCCGAACTCTTTATGTGCTATCTCAATCGTCTCTCACAGACGTTATAACTCACACAATGAATGAAAGTCCATTGTTTCTCATATAATTTTTTCGAGGTGAGTCATTAAAACCGGTGTCCGTGTGGAGGTGCCGAAAAAAGGTGAAGAGGCCACTGCATAGCCTGGCGGCGGCGCTGCGCCGCTGCAGACTGACTGAGGCAATGCCTCGCCTTGCCTCGCCTTGCCTTCCCGAGCGGGCTGACCAGTCGCACATTGCCTAATTCAACGGCAAACCCGTCCGGGCGTCGCGCACACTGGACAAAACGAAGGATGGGGCCACAGTAGTAGGCAGAGGCTGAGAGCGAGAGGGAGAGAGAGAGAGAGAGGGGGGGGGGGAATCGGCAACGATGATGCTACTATAGTCCGTGCGAGCTGGAGCTGCCCACCTATCCGCTCAACTTGAACTCTGGAGAAAAAGTGTCAGGGTCAAAGAGAGAGAGAAGGAGAAAATAAAAAACGAAAGGCACGCGGCCGGTGTCGGTATTCGAACCCGAGGCGCGCGGCACGCGGTGACCCCTCGCGGGGAAGTGTGTCAGTGTGGTCCGTAATTACCACACCGGCTGAGAAATATGTAAGCAATCACTGCTTACAGTGGCGGTGCGTGGCGCCCGGCGCGTGCGTCGAGGCGTGCGCGCACGGCCGTGGATCGGGAGGCGCGCGCACGCTGTTTAGACCGCCAATTATGACCCGGCAAACAGCATGGGAACATGGGAACGCCGGCAGCACGCCGACGGCGTCCTTCCTCGGTCTTTGCGCGCGTCTCCGTCGTCACCGTCCTCGTTCTGCACGCCGTCCGGCCCTCCGGCTAGGGTTGGCGCGGGCCACGCCGTCGTCCTGGCCGCGTTTCCTCGACGCGGTGCGGTCCTCGACGGGGACCTAGACGCGGCCCTGGACGCGGCTCGCAGCGTGGTCCTCGACGTAATCCTAGTCCTAGTGACGGTCCTGGACGCGGTCCTGAACACCCTCTCGGTGATGGTCCTGGACGCGGTCCTAGACGCCGTCCTGGAGAGGTCCTCGGCGTGGTCCTGGAGGCGGTCCTGGACGCACGTCACCGCCGTGGCGCTGCTCCCCGCCATCCATGCGAACAGCGCGTCGTGCCACATTCCTGCCGGTGGCGGATGAGGTCCTGGCGTGGGTCCTGGCGCAACGGCCCCCACCCCGGTAGCCTCTCGGACACCACTCGCGTCGCTGTTTTAATCAGTCCCCCTCCCCATTCCACGACGTGACGTGGTGATGCAGCCCCACTGCCATCCAGGGGCCCACAATTAGGGCGGAAAATGAAAAGAAGAGGGTGGCTTGCAGTGCAGTAGCGGGGCTGCTGAACCACCACCACTCATAACGCGGGACTCTATTATACTGCAGTCCTTGTTTTTGGATTTTTTCCAAGTCGTGTCACCGCCACGGCCGGCCTGCGGTGTGTTTCATTTTCTTTATTTTCGCGGCTGCACCGTGTTTTGTTTCTGTTTTTCCCGTGTCCTGGCTGCTGGCTGCACCGAGGGTATTAATAATCCCCTAAATGCGATTTTATGCGCGGGCCTGGCTGGCTAACGCGGTTAAAGAGTCCCCCGCCGGAACGCGGGCAAACTAAACAACAGAAGCCCGGCGTTGGTGTTGGAGCCGCGGGGCCGCGGGGCGCTGCTTCCCAGGAGACGGATTAAAACTGCTGCCAACCTGCCGGCCGCCCGGAGTCGTTTGGGTTGCCTGCCCTGCAGGCGCGCCGCAGCGGGACTTTTTCACTGCTTGCTTCTTGTTTTGACGTTGGCGACGCCCTCTGCTTCCAGACCATCCAGTCCTTCCTGCCCTACATGCTCAAGAGGAACTCGGGACACATCGTCGCCATCGCCTCCGTCGCCTCCTTCATCGGCGTCGCCAACTTCTCCACCTACTCCGCCACCAAGTTCGCCGTCGAAGGTCAGCGCTCTCTCTGTGTCTCTGTCGCACTCACTGGGGTGCGAGAGAGACAGGAAGTGATTCTTCTGGAGCAGTTGGATTCCTTGGCTGACAAGGCCTTTGGATTGGCAGGTCTCATGTCGTCGCTGCACGAGGAGTTCCGGTCCAAGCAGAAGGACATCAAGCTCACCACCATCCACCCGTACTTCATCAACACCAGGCCGGACCTCATCAAGGGCTGGCACCACAGGTCAGGGCGGCTCCAACCAGTCGCTTTCATTTTACACGCTTCACCTCATGCCCATCTCCATGTCGCTCTGTATCACCCTCATCGTGTTCATTCTGTGCTAGCGCGAGACTTGTGTAAGGACAGTGTGCGAGTGAGAGGACGCTTGAGAACGGCGGCAGTGCACCAGCGACTTTGGGACCTCATCGCTCAAGCTGGACGACGTGTATGGATGCCCGGAGGTGCGCCAGGCTGGCCCCAAGGCTCGCCTCAAGGTGCGGCGGAGCGACACTAGCGCCCCTGGCGGCCGGGCGCGGCCGGGCCGGCACTCACTCCGCCCGCAGACCCGCAGCCCACGCGGCGTGCCGTAGATTGGTCTGCCTACCCTCCGGGGGCAACCGACCCGAAGTGCATCTCTTCCATGATCACCATCATCAACCAGTCATTTCCACTGTCATTGTATGCTTCACGCATGTGTCATTCGCACCTAGATTTTAAGATTGAACTTATGAGTGTGTGTTTATGAAAGCCCGTAAGTATTACACAGAGATGGAAGTAATCAAGTTCGTTCTGAGGTACTGGTTCTGTCTTAACTAACGGTGATTCAATCTCCAAACTAAACATCATGTTCCACCGTGTCACTCCTTAAAGGCATAGAATTATATTTTCTTTTCTTTCTTTTTTTCCGATTATTTACAATGTTTTGTCTGCTTGCCTGTCGTGGAGTGGCACGGTGCTCGAGCAATGGGTCTGGTGGTGCTGTGACTGACGGCACCCGCTCGCCGCTCCTATCAGTGTTGCCAAATAAGCAGGCAAAAATGACTGCGACGCATCAGTGTCAGAAGGGTTGCCAACTTCCACCCACCCACAATGGGTCAGTGGAAAGGCGGCGGTTGGCCATCCTTTCAGCGCGCGAACTTTAGCCTCCTTAGTGTGGCAACACTGCTAGAGGGCTGCGGGCCGACGACGCTCCACTGCCAATCTGCTAACTCTGCTCCCCGCTTGCAGGCTGCCTCTCATCACCCCGGACAGGGTTGCCAGCGCCGTGGTGCGCGGCGTCCGCAGGGAGAACGTCTCCGTCACCATCCCCAAGTTCCTGTTCTACCTCCTGGCCTTCTCCAGGTGAGCAGCCGTGGCCGGCCGTGGCTCAGGGGGCTAGAAGAACGGTGCAGACCGCCAACTCTAGACGCGTTTTGAGATCCAGAATTCGCTGAAGAGGACTCGAACCGGACGTGTGACCCCACTAATGAATTCCTTTTGCGGAGGGGAATCCATTTGTGGGGTCACACGTTGGTTTCGAGTCCCATTTTGCAACTCAGGGGAGCTCAAAACGCGTCCGGGATTTTGACCACCTCCGCGTGGTCATCATTCTGGGACATGCGCCAACTTAAAGGTGAACATGGTGAACCCTCTTTTTCTTAAGTGCCATTTCGTTGTGCAGGTTTTTCCCGCAGAGCGTGATCGACATCTGGAGAGACGTCTTCTACACCCACATCACCCCTCCCAACAAGCTGCCCGGCGCGCAGGTCTTCTCCAACGGGGTGGCCAACGGCATCGCCGGCAAGAAGGAGCTCTGAAGACGGACTCATCCCCGACAGCGGGACGGGAATGTACTTTGGGGTGACCAGGGGCATCTAGCAGAAGGCGGCGAGCCTCTCTTGGCGTTGTTTGCGTTTCAAACAAGACTTTAAGAAGAGTCGCGCCGAGCCTTCTGCCGACAAGACTGCGCTGCGAGCCGGGCCGTGCCGGGCCGTGCCGGGCCGTGCCGGGCCGTGCCGGTGCGCGCCTCGCTGCACCAGCTTTGCGTCGCTCTGCGTCAATCCCCTGCGGAACTTGGTCAACTTCGACGAGGTCGTCACGGCGTCACTGCGTCACTGCGTCGTCGCCGGCCAGGCGTAGCCAGGCCAACTAGTGCCTCGAACTTTAATTTCCATGACTTACTGTTCCGATCCACAAATGGTCCGGGAGGCGACGGGGCCGCGGTATCTTATTGCTCACTCGAAACTGTGATGTTGAAGAATGTGCCTTCTGGTGTTAGAATACCTGACTTGACTACTGTAGGGACCAAGTGTAGTGACAGGCAGTGCCGAGGCACTGTATATGTAATCCAAAGATGAATGTTTTAAAAAATTAATTTACTTGTTTTCTACGTTAGGGCATGTAATTTTGTGTACTGTGTTAACGTCTAAACATGGAAAGGCGTTTATCTAGGAGGATAAATCTACAAGTTGTATCTCAATGTAGCTGTTTTGTTTCCAAAAGAATCTGTTATTGCATCGGAATATTTCCGAATTTCGAAAATTGCGACTCTCGCAAATTGTAAGTTAAGAAAAATCAACACAGCCGTCTTGTTTACGATAAAGTAAGAAGTAAATCTCTAAAGCAATTCCTACAACACCTTAGGTTAGATTGTTGAGAATGAGAAGCTAATGTTATTTGTTAAAATAAATTACTAATAAAATCTAAGTTGTGCGTATGTTTTTATTTCCTGTTGAGAAAGCACAGTATGGACACTGTGCAACTTCCAAGCTAAAGCACCAAAAAATTCAGAATTGATTGTCTCAGAGACCATTTGGCACCGGGTATCCGTTTCTTAAACCTATAGCAACGTTCCATATCAATTGGTTCGGGATTGAAAAACGACAGAAAGATAGCAGTAATAAACAAGGCGTTTATTATTAACAGGTACAAAGAAATTAAATTATAATAATACTGATCTCATTTCATGAAATGACATAAAACTCAAGGGTACTACTAGATAAATTATCATCCTGTTACAATACAAAATATCAACAATGAGATATGTGTGCATCGTTTCATGCAATGCATTAAACAAAAGGCTCGAATTTTATACAAAAATTATATCAACCTGTCGTAAGACAGTTGATTTGAGATAACAGTCAAAAGCCAAAAAAGAGAATTTACACTCCAGCCTTAACATCTGTCTTACGTAATATGTGGAATAGACTTAATAAGTTTATTAGTGTAGTTTATTTCTAACGAAGTCATCAATTTACGATCGTGCCACTACATCAATCGGGTTCGATCTCCTTACACTACTACTTCATAGCAAGAACTCCATTAATATTTCTTTCAACGTATCGCAACCAAGTTCCAACCACAGAAAGCAACATCTATACTATTCAATACACAATGTAACTATTACACTGGTCATACAAGATCGTCAGCGCAGGTTCTGATGAAACTTCACAATATACATGTATTGTCTGCTGTACAAGTTTCAGTCATGTAATAAGCCTTGTTTAATTAACATTTCATCAGTCAGGGAAAGGCTTTTCGGCTTTTCTAGGAGGCTGATGGTATATCAGTCAGAGAAACCCCCAACGCAGTCGGAGACTTCCAAAGTAATGTTTGTTGATATGTCAAAGAGACGACTGCTTATGTACAATCTAAACTAGAGCCCATGATACAATCTAAATTTTGGAAGTACGAATAACGACGGGAAGGGCAGGAACACAGACTAGAACCTATTTACAGTAGAATTAACACAATCCGAGGACAGCGCCCCCTTCAATTTTTATGGCACATTTTGACTAGAACCGCGACGAGCCTCTTGGCGGCAGTCGCGCTACAGACTAACATCTGGTTCACTACACTGTCCAGGCGCAGCACAGAGAAACGTCACTTCACTTTTTTAAAACTTTGGAGAAAGAGTCTGTGGAGCTCAGCGGCTGTCCACGCGGACGGAGCGCCACTGCGGCTCGTGGAGGCCGCCGTTGGAGCCCCGCAGGTTGTCCTTGACGGCGTCCTGGCCGGCCTGGCCGTGGCCGCCCTGGCCGTGGTGGCCCTGCTGCCCGTGGTTGCTCTGGTGCGGGCGCTTGACGCCCGCCATCTGCTGGGACCGCGAGTAGTTGTTGCCAGGCTGCCAACATTAAAAGAACCCAAGTGAAAACACGGCCTCGTCGCTTTTGGTGTTCATTGAGGTTCAAACCCCACTTTTTTTCGTTGGAGGGTTGCTTACCTGCTGGGGGTTCGGGCGTAGCATGCGCAGCTGCCGCACCCGCCGCAGGGTGGAGGCGGACACGGCGGACAGGGCGTGTCCCGGGGGCGCGGGGCGAGGCGCGGAGGGGCCGCGGTAGTCCTGCATGTCCCGGTAGTCGAGCGCCGACCTGGCACGCTGCACGTTCTCGCCGTGGCCGCCGTGGCTGCTGCCACCGTGGCTGCCGCCCAGGGCCACGGAGGCGCACGAGTACGCGTACTCGGGCTCCGAGCCGCGCACCGACCCGCCTGCAACAAGACCATCAAGCTGAGAAACTTCGGCCGACGCCGCCAGCCCCTCTGCGCAAACAGTCTTTGGCTGCAAAGCTGCTGCCGACGGCCCGGCGGCTTGGACGCCAAAGCACCGAGCCAAAGCGCATCAGCTATGCGTATGGGAGATGCAAAACATAAGCCGAGCCGCCCCCGCGGGTGTCGTGGCCGCAGGGGCTCCCGGCAGGGGTCCCCGTGGGCACCCCAAGGGGCTCCCCGACACACACACACACACACACACACACACACACACACACACACACACACGCACACACACACACACACACACAGAGAGAGAGAGAGGGCGAAAGTGAGGGCAAGTAAGTAAGTGAAGGTGTGGTGGAGCCATAAGCAAGGGAAATGACGCGTCGGCGGAAGGCGGAAAGGGGCGCGACGCCGCCAGGGCCGCCAGGGCCGCCAGGACGTGATGTGCCTTTCTTATACGCCAACAATGTTTCCCTATCAATTTCAAAAGGATTTCAGCGGAGTTGGCTTCAAAAAAAAAAGACGGGCAAGGTTACTACACAACTCGAAAAAGGTTTAAATTCCTTATTACGGAAAAAAAAATTGATTATGACTATTTGTTGTTTTTATTTTTGGGTGATATTCCTCTGGTGCGACTGATCAAGATACGCCTAGGAAGTGGACTTGGCAGGTGGGGCGAGCAGGCAGACACCAGCCAGCCGGCGGGAAATTCGTTTCTCTCGCGGCCTCTCTCTCTCTAACCAACGGCGTGGCGTGGGCCGCGGCCCGGGGGGAGAGAGAGAGGAAGAGGAAGAGGAAGGCGAACCGTGACGGCGGAGTCTCACTAGGGTGACGACGGCTGGAAAAACGGCAACACCAAAAGGGGAGGCGCCACGCCGTGCTCCGCCTCGCCAACTTTCCTCCCCGCCCACAGTCTTGCCAACGACGCATCCATTAGTGCGATGGCATAAACCCCACGGCCGCGTTCGGGACCGAGCGCCGCACAGTGGGCCAGAAGACCGGCGGAGGCGGTCAAAATCCCGGACGGGCTTTGAGCTCCAGAGTCGCTAAACAGGGCTCGAACCGAACGTGTGACCCCACCAATGGATTGCTCTCCGAACGAGGAATCCACTGGTGGCGCCACACAAGCTCGGTTCGAGTCCTGTTTAGCGACTCTGGAGCCCAAAACACGTTCGGGTTTTTGACTGCCTGGCCCACTGTGCCGCCACCCAAAAGAGTTGCCCTTTGTCTCGGTTCGCGGAAACGCGGGTACGTGACGTCACCAGGCGGCTTTCGACCCCGAAGGGTGCGCCGCTTCACCAGCCTGTCGTTAAAGCAAGCCAAGGAAATCGGCCGGGGTAAAAAGGCGGATGGGAAAAAAATTGGGTCGCTTCTAACAGGATTCGAAGCCAGGCGTGTCGAAAAACACAATCCCAGCGATGCCCGTGTTGTGCCGCGTGGCTGTGCGGCCCGCCACCGACAGGTGGTGAGCCCGCGGGGCGTGACGCGAGCAGCCCTGCGCCTCGGTGGCACCACACTGTGAAATCGCAAGCGGATTACTCGCTAGGCGGGCCAAACATGTGCCAGGATCGCGTCGCGCTTTGTGTGACCTCGGAAAGGCAGGGAGCAGTCTGTCTCTCTCGCACCCAGGCGGCACGCCCCACGAGTGCGAGAGAGACAGAACCAACTCTTGCCGCCTTAATATCTGGCAACAATGCGTGGAAGACGGACGGACCGCGACGCCCCTCCTCCGCCAACAGGCACTTCGCGTCGCTTCGCGTGCTGCGAGATCGTTAGAACCACTTGCGCGCGAAGCCCGGGCGATGCGATGCCGCCCCCGCAGGATAGGCGCGGCATCTCCGGCGACGTGGCCGCGCCCCGCTGCCCCGGGTGCTGCCCATGGCAGTCCTAGTCCGCGAGGCACTACAAAAGCAGCACATCGATTCGTCCTTGGCCGCGCCGCCGCCCCACCTCGCCCACTACAAGAGGGCTGGCAGCCTGATTAGATCACATCAACAAGTAGTGTGTCTCTCTCGCACTGAGGGCGCGCGGCGCGGGGGTGCGAGAGAGACAGAGCGAATCAGCCTGTGCTGCGTTCCCATCGTTAGCGAGCCGGCACAACGGCTGGCCGCCAAGCGTCCGTGTGTCCGTGTGAATGTGCGAGTGTGTGAGTGAGACTATGGAGAACTAGGCCGAATGGAGGGTTGCGGGGCACTACACAAGGAGCACCTACAGCCAAGGAAAAAAGCAAACAGAAAAACAATATTGAAAAGGGTGGTTTTTGAACCCGGATCGCTCACCTGCTCTGCACTCTTCGTATTCGTTGTTGCTGTAGCAGCTCTCCGAGTAGCAGACCTCGCCTTGCAAGCAACAGGACCCGCTGTAGCCTGCCTGCTGATCGGACTGCTGTTGTTGCTGCTGCTGTTGTTGCTGTTGCTGCTGCTGCTGTTGCTGTTGCTGCTGCTGCTGCTGCGGCCTCGACATGCCGTAATCCCAACTCTGCCCAAACAAAGCGGCCACAATTGGCGTTAGTTGCGCGCTCTTGACGCTCGCCTCGAAATAAAGGGCAGGAAGGGCCGAGGCCGGCCGAGGCGGTGCTAATTAAAATTAACACGCCCTCAGTCGGGGATCAGCCCGGCAAAGTAGCGGCCTCGGGCGCGGCCTTGGGGGCCTTGGGCGAGGCCTCGGGCGAGACCGTCTCGGTGTCCGGTTAAACGGCTCCCCCCACCCCCTCGTTAAGAGGGAGCGGATCTGTCCAGGCCCGGGTCGGCCCCGCCAAGGGGGCACAGGTGGTCGAAAGGACGTCGAAATGACCCCCATTTTTGACGTCAATTTGACAGAATTTGGAGAATATGCGGTCCATTTCAACAGAGTTTCGACTCCAAGTTAGAACATTAGTTCATTTTGGCGCCAGCCTGAACCGGTCTTCTGGCGCACTGTGCGCCGAGCGCAGCGCGCCCGTCAAACGGAGTGTAGGCCACACGCACGGCATCGGTGCGTTGAGTGGCCTACCCTCCATTAACATTACCATTAGAGGCCAGACCACACATGATCCTAAGACTCTGCCATAAAGACCCGTCTTTAACCCGAACACACAAGGACCCTTGCAAAAAGAACCGGTCTCCTTGCCCACTGTTCTTGCACGTTATTCGTATTTTGGTGAAAACTGTTGCACGGCAAGCTGAGGCACTGACCATGGGCGCGGCGTTGGGCCTGGAGCGCACGACGAGCGTGGTGGAGGCGTAGGGCGTGGTGTTGTCGCTGGAGGTGGAGGTGGTGTGCGCGGGCGCGCAGTCCGCTCCACCCGCGCCGCTGCCGCCGCTGCTACCGCTGTTGCAGCTAGCACTGCCTCCGCTGCCGCTGCAGCTGCCGCCACTGCCGTCGTAGCGGCAGGAGCCGTGGAAGGACGTCATGGCGTAGGGGCTGGCGTTCACCTCGGCGTAGTCCGGCATGGGGTTGGCCACGCACTCTGCGGGGGCCAAGCAAGAAAGGGTTCACTTCCGCAAAACCGAAATTCTTGCTAACTTTTTTCAGTTAATGTAGTTGTGAGTTTCCTACCTGGCCTGGGGTTCTGGCCGTCGCCAGCCATGAGCCTGACGACCTCGGAGTAGTCGGGCAGGTTGGCGGCCTGGTGGGCCTGGTGGCCCTGGAGGGAGGACCCGGGCGGCCCGGCGGACACGTCAGAGAGCCGCCACCCCGCCGCGCCGGGCCCCACCTGGTCGGCGAGGCGCTTCTCAATCCACAGCGACGCGTCCTGGCTGGACAGCAGCAGCGGCTTGGAGCCCCCAGGGGGCACGATGCCGAGCCCCCCGAGGCCCCCCAGGCCCCCCAGGCCGCCCAGGCTGTCCTCGGGCTTGAAGCTCAGCGGCGTCACCAGCACCGCGCCGTTGGACCGGGATCCTGTCGGAGAGAGGGGAAGGTCCGGGGTTCAAATACTGGTTACTCCTTTTTGCCGCGTGTGGTTTTGCTGCGCCCGTCGTGCCGCACGGCAGACAGTGCCAGAGGTCGCATCTCGTTATATTTGAGTTTCCGGGGATGCGTCATTTCGGCGGCAAGAGAGGACACCGCCCCGGGGCGGCAGTCTGACTCCGAGAGTCGTTTTCGTCGCTCTGTCTCTCTCGCAGTCACACAGGTGCGCACCCGCGAGAGAGACAGCGCGACGAAAGCTACTCTCAGTCTGAAGGCGGTGTGGCTGCGGCCGTACGCGTCGTCGTCGTCGTCGGGGTGCGTTTGCCCGTCCGCGTTTGCGCCGCGCTCGCTCGAGGGGAATGCGAAAGAGGTGTGGCGATGTCGGGGCGCCATTTCATGGCTGACGGCGCACGGCGCGAGGAGCAAGGCACGGCGCACGGCGTGCATCCGCTGGGCCCGGCCCGCCCTGCGCCGGCGCCGCCGTAACTAACCCACGTACAACCTTGCCGTTAGCGATAAAAATACACTTGAATGCACTTTGCTGTTCTGGCGGCGGGGCGCGCGTGCATCAAGAGACGTGGCGTTGCCCCGGCGACGCGCAGTGGGCCAGAAGACTGCTGGAGGCGGTCGGAATCCCGGACGCGTTTTGAGCTCCAGAGACGCTGAACAGGACTCGATCCGAACGTGTGACCCCGCCAATGGATTGCTCTCCGAACGAGGAATCCATTGGTGGGGTCACACGTTCGGTTCGAGTCCTGTTTACCGACTCTAGAGCTCAAAACGTGTCTAGAGATGTGGCCGCCTCCACCGGTCCTCTGGCCCACTGTGCGACGCGGCGACGCGGCGGAGGGCCCCTCGAAGACACACGTAGCGGCACCCCCACCCCTCACCCTCACGCCATGCGTACCGCCGTACCGCCGTCGCCGTACCTGCTCATGTGGTGAAATAGTGGGAACGGTCCACAAAGCACGAGTCTCCTTGTTAGCATGCCAGACACTCGCAACACAGAAAGTAGACAGCAAAAAAAACGAGAAAAAGCGAATTTTTAGCGAGATTTTTTTTTCCTCCGGGAAATGATAACACTCGGTCTTAATCTCACAGTGCCCCCGCGTCTCGGCGCGCCCACACCTTTACGCTGCTTGACTTCCTCACCGGAGGGAAAAAAATTATCTCAGCAAAATCCAATCCTCCGCACCAACGGCGGCAGCGCGGCGGTCTGGAAGTCTGGAACTCCCGCTGGGTGCTTTTTTTGTATTTTTTTTCGCGGTTCTTCTCCTTCTTCTCTGCTGAAGAGGGCGCTCCGCGGGTGCACAGTGGGTGTAATCCGGGCAGGAAGGGGCAGTGTGGGATGCGGGGCGTGGCGGGGCGGGGCAGGGCGGGGTGGGGCGGGGCGGGGCGGGGCGGGTTGGGGCGCGGCGTTCTCCCCTCTCAATGACTCCGGCACCACACAGAAGTGCTTCTGCTCCTTTATGGAAACATGGATTGACGTGGAGGTGTGGGCCAGAACCGCGCCTGGCGGGGCGGGCAAGGCATATTCCACGACCTCCCGGGGCTCCTCCGACGGACCAACGCCAAAGGCCGCGCGGGTTCAAATCCCACCGTCGGCGGACGATTTTTTTTCTCGACTAGTCTTTCCAGTGGACACAGCAGCAGCAGTACCGCAACAAAGTCTGACACATAACTGCGGTCGGCCCTGTGGCCGCACAGTGGGCCACCAGACTGGTGAAACTCTAGACGCGTTTTGAGCTCCAGCGTCGATAAACAGGACTCGAACAGAGCGTGTGACCCCAACAATGAATTCCTCGTTCGAAGAGCAATCCGATGGTGGGGTCACATGTTCCGTTCGAGTCCCATTTAGCGACTCTGGAGCTCAAAACGCGTCCGGGGTTGTGACCGCCCGCTCCGGGCTTCTGGCCCACTGTGCCATGCCTGCCAGTGTGGTGGAGTGGCGGTGACACAGTGCGGCAGGTGCGGCTCGGCGCCCCAGTCAACTGCATTCCTCCCAGAGTGCCGGCTAATTACCATTTATAGGCTGTTATTTCACGACTGGATGTGCCTCGCTGCCTCGCAGCCTCGCGGGGCTCGCCCGGGCTTGCCACCCCTTGGCTGTAAAGCGGGCGAGGGGATGGCCTAAACCCGGCCGCCATCCCCCCCCTCCCCCCGCCCCTGGCGCCAGCCTGGCGGGCCCCTTTACGGTCAGCATGTTTTATATACATTACGGCAAGTGGTGAGTGGCGCTCGCTGCGCATCCCCCTCGCAGCTTCCACGGTTCGTTACTTGTCATCGGGATAAAAACAGCGCCCTGCCCCGCCTTGCCTCGCCCTTCTAATGTGTGGCGGCTACGACGCCCCGGCCGCCAAAAGGAACGAAATGGCGACGCTTGGGCCACGCGGACAAAGGCAGCACCGCGAGAAAACACATGTCCCCGAAAATAAAAACAAACAAAAAACCACACCCAAAAAAAAAAAGCTCGTGACCGGGTATTCGAACCCGCGTCCTCACCGTAGATGTTGCCCAGCATGCTGGACTTGCGCTGCTGCTGGCGGCGCCACACCAGGAGGATGGCGGCGAACAGCAGCACCATGACGGTCACCATGGAGCCGAGCAGCGCCACGAACCACGTCTGCGTGAGGACGTCCGGGTTGTCGACGGGCAGCCCGCCCGGGCCGTGGTCGCCGCCCGCGCCGCCCGTGCCACGGACGCCCGGGTCCACGGCGTGCCTGCGGGGACAGAGGGGGAACCGAGTCTCAAACAAGGGCTCATCTCCAAAAGTGTGCAAAAAATTAAGGAAAATTGCAAAAACTTCCTTAAAAATTACAAAAAAAACAAAACAAAAAAAGAACAATTGATCTAAAAATTCCGAAAAAATATCTAAAAGTGACTAAAAAAGTACCCCAAAAAGTTAAAAGGAAGTTTGAAAAATTTGACGAGTTGTGTAAAATTTGAAAATGGATGAAGTTAGAACAGGTTTTGAACCTAGGGCAACGTACCTGTGGGAGTGGCCCTTGGGCTGCACCCTGAGTCGCTGCGGCGCGGACCAGGGCCCCCAGCCGACGTGCGTGGACGCGGCCACCGTGACCACGTAGGGCACGCCGGCCGTCAGGTTGGACAGCAGCACAGAGGGCGCCGACGCCAGCACCGTGCTGTTGGACACCACGAAGGGCGGCTCGGATACGCCGTCTGCCGTCTGCACCGCGACCTGGAACACCACGAGGAGGGGGAAGTGAGAGATAGCAAGCGAGCTGATGCACAGTGGGCCAGAAGACCGGTGGAGGCGGCCAAAACACCAGACACGTTTTGAGCTCCAGAGTCGCTAAACACGACTCGAACTGAACGTGTGACTCCACCAATGGACTCATCGTTCGGAGAGCAATCCATCGGTGGGGTCCGTCTTCGACACCCGAGGTTAGGTTACCCGAACACACAAAGGGTCATCGCAAAAAAAGAAAATGTCACGCCGAAAATTGTCCACGATGTTGAAGCACCCCCTCCCCTGCCCCCTCCGCGGCACTGTGACGCGTGCAAATGGCATGCACAAGCTGCGCATTTGCATAAAGGGAGCAGCGAGTAAAAAAGATGGAATCGACAACAGCAACAATACACGGCGGGGTGGCGGCCCGCTCTGTTAAAACGCCAGTATACGCCGCGTGAATAAATTGGGCCCCACACAGCAAAACAATTTTTTTTGAAAAATAATTTTTGGAAAACCCTCTTTTTTTTGGGGGGGGGGGGTGAGAGGGAGTTTTGGGAACGTACCACCTCAACATGCAACGGAGCCATTCTCAACCTTTTTCGGACCTTCGCAATTTCCTGCAGGGAGCGGGCGAGGGAAAGAAAAGGCGAAAAATGCGGGGGCGTCTGTTTGTTTTACCCTTTAGTGCCGTGGCTGGCGGGGCTGGCGGGGCTGGCGGGGCTGGCGGGCTGGCGGGCTGGCGGGGCTGGCGGGGCTGGCGGGGCTGGCGGGCTGGCGGGGCTGGCGGGGCTGGCGGGGCTGGCGGCTGGCTGGCGGGGCTGGCGGGGCTGGCGGGGCTGGCGGGGGCTGGCGGGGCTGGCGGGGCTGGCGGGCTGGCGGGGTGGCGGGGCTGGCGGGGCTGGCGGGGCTGGCGGGGCTGGCGGGGCTGGCGGGGCTGGCGGGGCTGGCGGGGCTGGCGGGGCTGGCGGGGCTGGCGGGGCTGGCGGGGCTGGCGGGGCTGGCGGGGCTGGCGGGGGGCGGGGCTGGCGGGGCTGGCGGGGCTGGCGGGGCTGGCGGGGCTGGCGGGGCGGTGGCGGGGCTGGCGGGGCTGGCAGGGCGTCTCACCGCAGCCGTCAAGCCAGCGCCGCGACGTCGACGACTCGACGGCCCGTTTCCGCTTTCAATTTCCTCGCCGCACACAGCCAGCCCTGCGTCTCGCCTCGCCTCGGCGTCGCGACGCCCTCCAATCTCATCCACTGCGTTTGCCATCCTATCATTATTCGCAGCCTGCCTCTCGGTGATATTTACCGCCAGCTAACCTCCAGCCTCAGACGCGTTTCCCGTTTTTCGCGCCCCAGTCCGTCGCCACAGTGGGCCAGAGGACCGGTGCAGGCGGTCCAAACTCTAGACGCGTTTTGAGCTCCAGAGTCGCTAAATGGGACTCGAACCGAACGTGTGACCCCAACAATGGGTTGATCTCCGAACGAGGAATCCAAAGGTGGGGTTACACGCTCGGTTCGAGTCCTGTTTAGCGACTCTGGAGCTCAAAACGCGTCTAGAGTTTGGGCCGCCTCCACCGGTCTTCTGACCCACTGTGCGGAGTCATGACACCTAGGAGCGCGTCATCCAAAAAAGGAGAAGAAGAAGTATGAGTAAAGTAGTGTAGTGTGATGTCAGTTTGAAAGCGCTTGTTTTTGGTCAGTTACCCAAATTTAATAACACTCCCACGCCGTCGGCAAAAACACTGTCGGGTCCCCGTGTTCCCTCATAACGCGAGCGCGGAGAAGTCACTTCGCCGCTCTGTCTCTCTCGCACCGGGCGTCCCGCATAGGGGAGCGACAGAGACAGAGCGACGTGCCAGGTTGGCGGGCCCTTGCTGACGTCATCAGGCTTCAGCCAATCAGGGGGCGCCCCCGGCCGGCTGTTGTGCCCCTCCGGCCCCTGTGGGTCGGGTCCGGGTTCGCCGAGGGTTCACCGGGTTCCAGCCAATCAGACCGGGGGGTCTGGCGAGCCTGCGTCCACGAGTGTGAGAGAGACAGAGCGACGAAATCGACTCTAGGAATCAGTCTGCTGGCAAGGCTGGCGAGCGGCGGAAGGAACAGAGGACACGCGAGACGTGGCTCAGCTAGCACGGCCACAAAAAAGAGAAAAAGATTTACAAGGAACTGGCGGAAGGGGCTTACTGCGAGCATCCGAAATAAAGAAACTGTAAGTGCATGAGGAAAAGGTTGCCAGAGAGCGCGACGAAATTTCGCAACGTGTTTCACAGTGCGCCCCCGCTTGCGCCCCCTCCCCCCTTTCCCGATATCGCCGATACACGTGCAGTGTAGGGTCCGGCAGCCAGCCGATGGAGGGGTCGGGGTTAGGGGCCGCGGGGGCCGCAGTGCCCGTCTGTCGGCTCGCAAGGCCTGCTGATAACCTATCAATCCATCTGGCAGTGCCCCCTCCTCCCCCTCCTCCCCTTCCCCCTTTCGGGCTTCAAGCCGCCCCTCCCGGCGTCCCCGACGTCATACACAGCAGCGGCCTAACCTGGTCACTACCGCCCCACACCCCTTCAAGACCGCACCCCCGATGCGAGGGTCTGCAAAGTGCGCGGAGTGAGGCAGGCTGCCCGAAAATTGCATCTCTCCAGCGTGGCTCGGCTCGGCTCGGCTCGACTCGGCACGGCTCGGCTCGGCTCGGCTCCTCGGCACGCTAGATTCAGGTACGGTCTATTTTCTGCCTCAAGACCCGGCGCGCGGTGCGGCCCGCCTGGGTCGGACGCTCATCCAAAAGCAATCCAGACGGTGCAAACTTGAAGCGGTCTCTCCTTCCCCGGGGAAACAAATCGCGGCGAAACTGCGGGGGCGGTCGGTATTCGAACCCTGCGCACTGTCAGACTCGTACTGATTATTTTTTTAAGGAACGTATTGACGTGATGCATTGATTGCACCCGACTTAAGAATTAACAATTTTATCGGTATAAGTACCGCTTCAACAAATAACTTACTGACATTTTCACGGTAAGAAACAACAACAACAACAACAACAACAAGGGGAAATGAACCGAGCGCGCGTCCCGTTTCGGCTGGCTGCATCGATTCCTTTCCGCCCCCACGGCCACCGGCCAGCCATCGGCCATCGCGCTGTGATCCGCAATAATCTAATTTATACCTCAGCGAGGAATGCAGTCGCGGGGCCTGCCCGCTGCAGTGGCACTGAATGCAACCCGCGGGATGCAACCGGTCTGCAACCCGAGGGGTGCAACTGAGGTGCAATCCGGAGTGCAACCAGGCTGCAACCGGAGTGCAACCGGTCTGCAACCCGGAGTGCAACCGAGGTGGCAACTGAGGTGCAACCGGAGTGCAACTGGTCTGCAACCAGGAGTGCAACCGAGGTGCAATCGAGGTGCGACCGGGCTGCAACCAGCGTGCAACCGAGCAGCGAGGCCGTTGCGGGTGTTACGGCGTGTAATAAAGGCACCCCCCACTCCCCACCCCATTTTCCTTCCGCTGGACCGCACCAAAGTTATGTCATAATCATGAGCGGGTAAACACCGGAAAATTACTGGGCGAGGAATTCATTATTTGTCAAGCGAGCGGGCGAGCGCGCGACTTCCATGCATACAGCAGCACCCTTCATTCGGTGCTCATGTGCAGAGAGAGAGAGAGAGAGAGAGAGAGAGAGAGAGAGAGAGAGAGAGAGAGAGGGGGGGGGGATGTGCGTTCGACCAATTTATGGAGTGGTAATGGAAGCTGCACGCACTCCGACCTAGGCCCACGGTCCGCGAGTAAACTGGCCTGCAAATATTCGCTCGCACTGGCCGACCAATACGACGCGCGGGAACGGGGAGCAGCAGCCTTAACACCCCTGCTGTCTCGGAATCATAATTTACCATTTGTTTCGCTCGATACACACACACACACACACACACACACACACGATGGCCGGGGTGGCGCCTGCAGCTTAGGCACGCCACTGCTGCTGCCCGTTGCCTAGCGACGAGGCGGAAGAGGTCAGAAACTATGCCATGTTTCAACGCTCCCTTTTCATTCCAGGGGGCCTCGGCCCTCTCACTCGCACACGTTCTAATGACCAGCTTGTCCGCCCCTCAGCCGGGCCTTGGGCTCCGCAACGCACGGCCAGGCAGCGCCACGCAAGGCCCGGCAGCGCTCCGCCCTGGACCGGCTGGCTACTTTGGGAAAAGAAACAGCCACCATCAGCAACATTACACCCATTCCAGGTCCACTCTTTGTACTGCTCTCCGCGGCCCGCGCGCATCCCCTCTGCACTACAAGGTTTCTCTCTCTCTCTCTCTCTCTCTCTCTCTCTCTCTCTCTCTCTCTCTCTCTCTCTCTCTCTCTCCCTCTCTCTTCTTTTCACCCACGCCCACACCTACACATGCTCGACGCTCTCACCTCACAGCCAGTCTCCTTTTGCGGCCCACAGTTTTCCTTTCATTTGCACACATCCATCTCGCTCCATCTAGATCTGTCTTTTTCCGCGCCCTCGCGTCCCCACACTGGCAGCCCCCCTCCCTCTTCTCCGCCCGAGCTGCTGGTGCTTCGTGCTCGCCATGCCCTTTACAAAAGAAGCTCGCCTAGCGGGTGTGCAGACTGTGCAAAATGGTAAAAGATGTTTTTATTTTGGGTCGCTTCTTCTTGTTTTTGTTGTTGGTCGTCGTTGTAAAAAGTCGTGTCGCGTCGTTCATTATTCACTTGTTGTTGTTGTTTGGCTAAGCAGCCGGGTCTTTCTTCGGCCAGTGTCGTCGCCGTGTCCCCCTCCCCATCTCCGCGATCCATCACGATGGGCGCTCAAGAGGCGAGGCATTCGCCTTGCATGCCACTCGACGACGAGCACGCCGTCGGGCTGGACGTCCCACTGCACACACACACACACGCACGCACACACGCACACACACACAGTCAAAAACTGGGCGTCGCTGTGTGACGCGCCAGGCAGACAGAGGAGAGGAAGGAAGGGAGGCTTGGTAATTAATGAAACCAAGAGCGACTCGACGAGTGGCCGTCGAAACGCACACACACACACCACACACACACGACAAAATAAACACACACACACACACACACACTGACGCGAGGGTGCAGGCACGTGCAAAAGCACTCACACCCACGAGTGCGACTCCTCTCTATCTCCCTCCCCCCAACTTTTTGCACACACGTACTCACACACACACACACACACACACACACACACACACACACACACACACACACACACACGCGCGCGCGCGCGCGCGCGCGGCCTGGACATCCCTCCCCCACGTCCACTTCATCGCTGCCGTGAAGAAAAGAGGAGGAAAACAAAGAAAGAGAGAGGCCGCGGTGAAAGAGAGACGCGCGCGCAGGAATATGGGAGAATCGGGAAAACGGACAGGGAGAGAGAGAGACATAGAAAAAGGGAAAGAATCGGAGCGAAAACAAGAAAAGAAGCGCAGGGAAAGGGATACATAGCTGCGGCAGATGTGGGTGGGAATTAAAGAGAAGGGAACGCCTGACCCACCACCGCATGCGCACCAACAAACAAAAGAAAAAAATAAAAAAAATAAAAAATAAACAAGGCCCAAGGTGCGGGTAGCATTATCTTCTGTTGTCTCGCAAAACACCGGCACGTACTGGAGGGATTTTTTTAAAAGTCACAACAAAACGAAGGCAAGAAATCTGAGGCACGGCAGAAGATTTTTAAAGCAAAATCGGAATACTGATCCAAATTTTAGCACTGGGTTCCTTTAAAGTTAAACTTGTTTTTTTCCCTTTTTGAGTGTGTGTCACCCGGCTAAATACATCCCCTGCTGAGGCACAGGCTCGGCTGAGGCACAACAGCCACAGGCAGGGGCTTATGCATCGCTGGCTGCGTCTCTGCCCAGCCCCGCCTCGCTCCGCCTTGCTTGTGGTGTTGTGGATGTCGTCGGGATACTTGTAAACAAGGCGCCCCGGCGGCCAGGGGAGGGACGGCACCGCGACGGCACGGCACTCTGAAAGGCGGCACTGGCTAAGTGCACGTCTTGTCGCGAGGACTGACTCGGAGAATGTTCGGGGCAGAATTGAAGAAATCCACTAAACGCGTCGTCGTCGACCTCCTCTCACTCTCTCGTCTTGTCCGTCTGCGTCGCGCCAGAGGGGCGCAGGCGAGGGAAAGAAAGGGGGGGGGGGGAGACTGGAGCACTGGAGCAAGCCAGCTGTCCCTTTTATTCAATTTGGGA